TTCGGTTGGCAAGGTTGAAGTTTATAAGCAGTAAACCGACTTTGCTAACCGACCGTTCCTTTGTGGCCGACGGTTCCGTATAGGATACAGGTTCGAATCCTGTCAAAGGACGAATATTTTCTATGACAATTTCTCGGACATTCAGGCCGGTAAATGTTATTTAATACTGTTTATTAAAACAGAGCATTTACTTAAATACTTGTATCTATAAAAAAAAATATATATATATATATATATATATATATATATATATATATATATATATTTGGTTGGATTGATGTGAGTTTGTGACCGTGGGTTTCACGCTTTTGCGATCGTCAGACAAGCTGATTTATTTTTTTTAAAAATTGGGTTTATGTAGATTGCGTGTATTGGTGTTGTTATGGCAGTGAGGAGAATCGTCGTCGTGATGTCCTCGTGCTACACTTTTCACATATGTATATATCTATACTTGGATATATATATATATATATATATATATATATATATATATATATATATATATATATATATATATATATATATATATATATATATAGGACGTATGGTACTATATATCAGGACAAATATTGGTCCTTGATTTGAAAATGTTAAAGTGTCATGTTAAGGGAAGCATGCATTAAGTTGAGGAAAAGCTGTCTGAGAGGGGATTTTTGCTTAACTTTGTAGCACGAGGTTATAGGAAACAAAGCCCGCCCTCTATTGACCAAAGCAGTATACTCCTTCTTTGCCGGACACGTGGTCTAGCTGCTGGCAGTACCGTTTAGCGTTGATGGCAGAAGGTCAAATTGCAGTACTTCTTGGAATTTTTGTTATTTTCTTTCCGCTTTCAGAATTTTTTGGCCAACCTAATATATATATATATATATATATATATATATATAAGAGAGAGAGAGAGAGAGAGAGAGAGAGAGAGAGAGAGATATAATATTAATAAGATACAGAACAAATGTGAACCGTTTATCAATCTAACATGATATCTCAACACCGTTCATCTGTTTAAACCTCTCCTTAGCCCACCTGACAGTGTCTGGCCTCGCATTGTCTTGCGAGAAACAAAGCAGGACCTCCGTTGACCAAAACAGGGTACCCCTTCTTTACTTTGCCGTACACGTGGTCTTGCTACTGGCAATACAATTTAGCGATGGCGGCGTGACCGTCTGAAAACAAGTTCGAAATGCAGTACTTCTTGGAAATTCCACAAGACAGAGATTAAGATTTGTTATTTTCTTTCCGCTTTCTAAGCGATTCGGAACTTTCTGATATATATATATATATATATATATATATATATATATATATATATATATATATATATGATAGTGAGAAGATACAGAAGATATCGGAAACGTTTATCAATCTAACATGTTTCACTGTTATTAAAGCTTCATCAAAGAATGAAATATGGAGAAAAGGAAGAAAATTTTAAATTTGTGTTTGATTTTCATTGAAAATTCATTTATCAATTGCATCCTAAACAAACGTTAGTACAGTTTATGGCGCTCCGAATTCAGGGAAAGAAGACGCCTACTTTCGAAGCGGCAATATATTAACAGAATCGATGATTAACAGAAAGACTGTAAATATTGTTTTATTGCTATGTCAACAGCTAAGAATGTTGGTGTATTGTGTCGTGCTAAAGAATGCTTCTTTCCAAAATCAGTCTTACATATCTGTATGTCTACCATTCGTCCATGCTTAGAATATTGCTGCCACATATGGTCTGGTGATCCTATTATATATCAAGAGATCGTTGATAAAATACAAAGAATCGGCAACATTATTGGTCCTGATGTGATGACTCAGTTCCAGTTACATTCCCACCGCTATGAAGTTGTTTCCTTTTGCCTTTTCTAGAAAAACTTTCGTGGTAATTGTTCGGATGAGCTCTTCGCTATGGTACCTGGACTTTATGAATTTAAGGGTAGTACGAGGCGAGCAACAAGGTCTCATCAATAAGCAGTTGAGTTGGTTAGATCCAAACGTAAGTTCTATTCTAAGTGTTTCATTTATCGCACTTCTCACTTGTGGAGCTCCCTTCCGGCTCCATGATTTCCAGTCAATTTTAATGTTCAAAATATTAAGTGTAATGTCATTCGCTATCTACTGTCTTCTTTATTACTCTTCCTTTTTTTTTCCCTCGCTTCTTAGCAATGTTTCTGCTTTCTGATTCTTCCACAAGTATTAACGCGATGTACCATAATGGCATTACTGCTTTGCTTGGGTTGAACTTGATTTTAAAAAAAAATGTAGGCGTATAATAATTCTAAGTTGTCTGTGTAGGATTCAGATGATAATGTACATTCGTACGACATTATTTTTGCACCAACCTAATACATACCAATTGTTTTAGATAAACACAAGATTGATCTTCTCAGAATGGCTTCAATAACGGTTGGCGACGTAATACAATGTTTTTGATGCGTGTTTATGGTTGGTAATATAGTTGTTATTAATCCCTCGATATATATATATATATATATATATATATTTTACAATAAACGTGCAATCAATGTAGTAATAAGAGCACAACGAAAATCAATGTAGTAATAAGAGGACAACGAAAATATATGTGTTGTTGTATCCGAAAATGCTATTGAAAAAGAGTTATTGGTTTTGGAACGCGCCAAAGACCGGCTGAGTTTGATTTTAAATTTTTAAAGTGTTTGCGTTTATACCAAATATGGTGATGAACAAATTACTAAGAGAAAAAAACAAAACAAAAAAAAAAAACAACATCTATTCTATACCTGAAGATGTCTGGAGGAACAGACGAAAGCTTGTAGTAAAAATAACAACTAATACGGCAGAAATTTATATAAACAATGATCAATTCATTCATAACGGTTCGGAGGTTTTTGTATACTATTTGAATTGTTTGCGATGATGGATGTCTCACCATTTAAATCATTAACCTTTGCATTAGTTTTTGTGAATAATTCATATATATATATATATATATATATATATATATATATATATATATATATATATATATATATATATATATATATATATATATATATATATATATATATATATATATATATATATATATATATATATATATATATATATATATATATATATAGAATATCTGAGGCTTAAAGACATTTTAAAACATGGACACATGGCCCAGTGGATAAAAGCTTTGTTTGTATCCAATGACTTGACCCAAAAGGTTTGAGTTCAATACCAAGCTACTGCAGTGGTGAACAGAAACTTGGAGAGGTCATTTTAAGGGAAATAACTAAGGCATCCGGAAGAGGCACGGCACATGGAACTAGAACAATATATCGCGTGTGGACAAAATAAAGGGTAAAGATCGAAATTCCAATCACCTGAAGAATACAACGACCGAAACATCGTGAATATGGCAATAAAGATGAGGACAACAGTCCGAATAATGTAAATAAATATCATTTTAATTAATCAAGACAAAGCAAGTATTGTATAGCCCTTAACACTCACGCTGAGGAATATTAATAAACAAAGAATTAGTGGTATGAAATAAACACGGATATTGTAGCTACGATTCCCACCAAATGTCACTGAGTGTTAAGCCTAGAATATAGTATATAGTATTTAGTACCCTGCGCAAATTTTCCTATTTTTAATTAAAATGTTCAGTACCTGATTTTCTTACCTAAATAATATGTTTTTCAGTTACAATTAATGTTAACCCAATGTACAAAGGTTGAAGTGCCTGCATGTAAAATATTTCAAATAAGGATTTATATTTAACTAGCAGCATGACCCGGCGTTGCCCGTGCTTGATTCAAAAATCGTACGACTCATACAGCAATCGCTATCACTTGACTTAAAATGTTTTTGCCCTTCCTTGCCTTTAAAGAAGTGCCCTTTGCCGTGCTGATGTTGCTACATGCCTTACTTCTTACCTATCTCACACTGCGATTTTTTTCTAAGTTCTATACTAAACATTAAATCTATTACGAAAAAAGAACTAAACAAATTGAACACAAAACGATCAGTTTTAAAAAAGGACTCGTAACTGGTAAAACTGAATGAAAAAACAATGTTAACAACAAATACTTTTTCATACCCAGCCCAGTTCTGCAGAATCAGAATCAACGTTGAGTTTAAGCAAGCGAATCAGCCAATTGGAGTAAAGTGCCATGCAGATTTAAATTTTTCTCACTTGTGACGAATGCAGCTATCGATTTTTTTTTTTGCATGCTAGTTAACATTCGTGTAAGTAAGCTGTTGGCTCTCACGCTGTCCAAAAGAATCTTCCTGCCTATTCGTGGTAGCCAGCTAGAGCCTCTAACTATGGCCAGTAGAAAATGGCCGCAAACTACATGAAAACTGCTGTAGAAGCATGAAAAAATCGATTATTTCCACTATCGATGGGAGTTGAGAAATGCAAAGTCGGTCTTGGCCTTCCCGCTAACTTGGAGCATGTGCATGAAAATTTTGGTGCGAATCCGTCGAAAATTGCGGCCGTGCATTCGTTACACACACACACACACACACACACACACATCTTGCCTTTTATAGATAGATCTTTTTTTTTCTTTTCAAAATTGGGTAAGATATAGTTAGTAGTGGTGTAACTTTAATTGCTGGTTAGTGTTCTAGGGTTAAGCAAGGTAACCAACGGTTAGAGAACAACAGTATCAACCTAACCTCGAATAAATTACAAAGTTAACGTATAAAGAACTTTAAATTTATTTTGTTTTGGATAATCACTGAGGCCAGGCGAAAGCTGGAACCCAAACAAAAACTAATAAAATCTCTGCCTATTTCTCCCGATCTTAAACAATAATACACGGAAATTAATCTTTGAGCAATAAAACTAAATATAAATGTATATACATGTGTTTTTACATGTGGGGTCCTGTGTGAATGTATGTATGTTTTTTTTTGTGTGTGTAAAGGAGAAAAATAGAAGTAGGGCGAATTATTTCGGATCGTCTGCGCTCTTGAATATGAAGAAGAATGAAATTTATAACGCCCATTAAAATCCTCAGCGCAAATACAAGAAAAAGATAGATAGATAGATAGATAGATAGATAGAGAGAGAGAGAGAGAGAGGGAGAGAAAGAATGAAAGAGAAATAGAGACACACAGAGAAAGAAAGAAAAGGAGGGAGTAAGAAAGAGAGTGAGAAAGTGGGAAATAATTAAGTAGCCTTAGATAGATAGATAGATAGATAGATAGATAGATAGATAGATAGATAGATAGATCTGAGCATACCGAGACAGATTGATCGATAGATAAATACAGGCATATATACATACATACATCTGAGCAGACATAGATAGATAGATAGATAGATAGATAGATAGATAGATAGATGGGCAGGAACAGAAATAGTTAGATAGGAAGAATGAGAATGAGATCGATCGATCGACCGACCGATCGATCAATAGATTGATAGGAATGAACATAATTCTATAGATAGATCTTAGCAGACTGAGATAGATCGATAGATACATACATGCATACATCTGAGCAGAGATAGATAGATAGATAGATAGATAGATAGGAAGGAACATAATTAGTTAGAAAGAGATAGATAGATATATAGGACTATATTTAGTCGTCCCCCCACGAGGGCGTCATGTGGCACAAGGCCTTTTAACGTGGGCATTTCCGAGCCATTAGGCTCGGCCAAAAAATAACCCATTTGAACCCGTATAAACGGGTTCAGGGCCGGTTTACCTCCCCGAAGGAGACTCCGCCCTTCGGCGTAGCCTCCTTCGGGTTCCTCTCCGTCCGTAGACAGAGAGTTGAACCGAACCGTCGCTCAGAAAGTGATATATAGGCAGGAACAGAATGAGATAGATAGGAATGAACATGATTCGATAGATAGATGTGAGCAGACTGAGATAGATCGATAGTTAGATACATACATACATAGATCTGAGCAGGCATAGATAGATAGATAGATAGATAGATAGATAGATAGATAGATAGATAGATCTACATAAATTATAAAGAAAATGTATACCCATAAACAATTCTTCTAAGACTAATTCATTGTTTCAACTGCCTCGTATCATGTTAGCGGTTGCCTCCTCTTCCTTCGCCGATTCACACGCATGTTTCTCTCAGAGGTTAGCAGCAAAGACCCGTACTATATTTGCTTCACGCACGCTATTAGCACCACGTATGTCTCGTGTTTCAAAACAGAATGCGGATTTTATCACATGCTCGCTGCTTCACGGTTCGAGAATTTCAACGAATAGAACGATTACCCTTGTTGTTTATTTTATTTTTATTTTATTTTTTATTTTTGATATGACTGTTTACTTGCCGCTGAAATAAAACTGATATCTGAAGGAATCATGCCAACTTCTTTGAAATAAAATATCGTCCTTCCCAAAGTAAAGAGGTTTTTCGATAGATAATCTCTTTTAGACAATGCAAGAGTAAATTTTCTTTTTAATGTTCAACGAAATCCTTTAAAATGTAAATAATCCTTTCTTTCCAAAAGGAATAAAGCTATTTGCTTTCCTTTTTCTTGTAAATTTTTTTTTTCCGTTGAAATTAATAAAATCATTTGAAAAGAAATAAAATGAAGCTCCGAAAAAATGCCTGGAAAAATAACCATTTTTTTTTTTTATTTTGTTAGACGAATCTGATGTATTTAAGAATGTACATAAAATTATTTGCAAAATCTAATCCAAATTTTCACTGGGCAGTTAGGTTTCAAGCGGATTCAACTCGTTAAACAAATTTGAGTATAATTGATGGCGTTCCGAATTCAAATTCCATCAAATTGACGGAGTCCAAGTCTCAGCGAGAAATTGCAAATATTGCTTTATGTGTGTAAATATATGATAATTCTAGTTTGTCTATGTGGGATTCAGATGATAATATATATTCGTAAGTGTATGTGTGTGTGCGCGCGCATCAGTATATGTATGTGTCTAGTACACATTATATTTGTTAGTTTTACGCATGCTGATTTCGGAACATTTTTACGTACCTACCGTTTGCTTTAGATAAACATACGTGCAATTCTTTAAGAATGGATTCGATAAAGGTTGGTGATATAATATAATACTTTTGACGTGTGTTTATAGTTTGTAATATTGTTATTACTTAGCACTCGAAATAATTTCAACGTATAAAATTAGGTTCTGTTTTATTTAGGGTGACATTTGTAAAATCAATCTTATGGCCAGGTTTGTTCGCGTATATTATGAAAGAGTATGAATGATCGTCTAAACGTAAATATATTCTGTGTTCTGAGATACTGGATTTTGGCTCTCATGATGTCTCACCGACATAAGTTCTTTTACAATACGATTTATTTGATAAGCATCGGCATCTGAAACGGTGTTGGATTTATTTTACTTCCTAATTATATCTTTGATTGTTTTAGATGTGGTGGCAAAGATCCTTATATTAGGGATTACTAATTAATTTACAAATTTTGAAGAAAGTGTGTTAGAAAGTTGGATTATGAATATTTGTAAAATCAAACTTAAGGTCAGTTTTGTTTTTAGATTGTAAAATCTTAATCAAATATGGAAAAAAAATTTACCCAAATTTTCATTGGGCCATCTGGTTTCACGCGCATTTGACTCGTTAAACAAATTTTTGTATAATTGATGGCGTTACGAATTCAAGAAGAGAAGATGCGTCTTTTCGAAGTTCCATGAAATTGCCGATTCCAAACCTAACTGAAAAAAAAAAAAAAATTTTATTGCGAGGTCAGCTGCTAAGAATGTTGGTTCACTGTGTCCTGCTAGACATTTTCCTTCTCTAGAATCTAACTTACATATCAATAAGTCTACTCTTCGTCCATTTGTAAATATGGCTGCCAGGCGTGGTCCGGTGCTCAAGAGATCCTTGATAAAATCCAAAGAAGAATCAACAACATTATTGGTCTTGACCTGGCGTCTCGGCTTCAGTCAATATTCCCACGGCCATAAAGTTGCTTCCTAGTGCGTTTTCTATAAATACTTTCACAGAAATTGTTCGGGTGAACTCCCCATTACAGTAAATCCCACATTCACTGCGTTTTCTGTAAACATAAAGGAAGCGAGTTCTACAAATAAAAGTAAAGGTTAACTGACATCTTTTGTTTTTAACAAAACGAAAAAAGAGAAATACCAAATCGGTTGATTTGTTTTTACGGCTTATCAACATTTTTTCAGGTTATTTAAAGGCAGGGAATATTTTTAGATTTCTTTTTTTTGATTTACTAATACAAATCCTACTGATTGACCCATAGCTAGAGGAGGCCGAGAGAAGAGATGGATCCATGCCTTTCGCAAGGATGTTTACGCGTCAGTGAATATATCGAACCAGACTGAAATCGGAACTCTGATTTTCAATTTTAAACCGTTATCCGTTAAACCACCCGCACACCCAAGCTTAAAGCACCTGCTATTCCCAAGCGGTCACCCATCTAAGTAATGACCAGGCTCAACGTTGCTTAACTTCGGTGTTCGTACGAGAACTGATGTTTCAATGTGATATGGCCGTAAGACGAGAAGATTATAGAAAATCAGATTAACGTATTATTAGAATAAACGTCTCCCCCTCCAAAAAAAAAATTACAGAATTTTTTTTAATATATATATATATATATATATATATATATATATATATATATATATATATATATATATATATATATATATATATATATATCCACTGAATAAGATCAGATCTGTCTTTTAATTCCTGTTTCTTTCATTGTTCTCTCTCATTAATAATATATTCTTTTTCTAACATTCTCTCACTCATAAACCTCCTTGAGTCTCAGTGACTTTATTGCCTTGCTTGGGGTGAGATGATTAAAAGAAATGCCTAGTCCCGGGGATCCTAACCTTGCGGCAGTACCTCCTTCATTAAACTAACGAGCGAGAGTTGGTGGAATAATGACGCTAGCGTGGTATTTCTCTTAATATTTTCTCCTTGACCCATATGTTCACATATAGGTACCCCACATTAAAAAAAAAATCAGACCATCGTCGTGTAGAGAGCACTTATTGAACGTACGCAATCGGTCTGGGATCAGTGTTTACTATAAGCCGATGTGTTTCTTCCTCGTGACAGTTCTCGGGGAAGTTTTGCTGATTGGGTTCCGAGTTCTATGATTGACTGATTTGTCTGTTTAAAGGCACATCAACTCCTTATGGGTCATTTAATGCCAAAACTTAATTTTCTTTGGGAGCACGGAAGTAATTAAGATATGACGACTGTTATTCAGCTTTTTTACAGTTGAATATATGGTAGATAAGGTCCTCGACAAGATCCAGAGACGGATAAGCAATGTGGTTGGCCCTGATCTGGCATCTCGTCTTCAGTTGCTCTCTCACAGACGTGCCATCGCCTCCCTCTGTCTTTTCTACAAATACTTTCACGGTAACTGCTACTATCGCTAGTTCCCAGACTGCATGAATTTAAGCGTGCTACTAGGCTAGCATCACGGTCCCACCCTTTCACTTGTAAGAAATTCTGCAATTTAAGCTCCTATTGGCTAATTTTGTAACGACCAATCTCATCGGTCGAATTTTGACTTGGGTTTTTCGCGGGCATTTTAGAACGGCCCGCGCCCTTTTGATTTAGTTGCGGATTAGCATTGGAAGTGTCCGGACTCATTTTGAATCTATTTGTCAGGGCTATTAGCGCCCAAGCCTAAATAATTAGGCATTGAAGTCCTTCAGCAACCAAAATGGTAATGCTTCAGAGACAGTTGCGGATTATTATTGGAATGGTCCGGACTCAACTTTGAATTTCTTTACACGGCCTTTTAAGTCCAAGCCTAATAATTAGGCATTGAAGATTCCTTTCAGCAACCAAATGGTAATGCTTCAGTCGACTTCATGTCCCATCTTATTTCCTTCAAGGCTGTAGAAGATTCCTTTCAGCAACCAAATGGTAATGCTTCAGTCGACTTCATGTCCCATCTTATTTCCTTCAAGGCTGTAGAAGATTCCTTTCAGCAACCAAATGGTAATTGCTTCAGAGACGACGTCATGTTCCAGCATCTTATTTCTTTCAAGGCTGTATAATTCAGTCATTTATTGACTGTCGTCAAATGTGTACGTTCTACTCGAAGAACTTTATGCATGATCTCTACAATAGCCGAGTTTCAACTTCAGCAACCGAAATGGTAATGCTTCAGCAACGACCAGCTAATGACAGCTTTTCTAACCTCGTAGTGACCGATTGTGTCCTACAAGTAAAAAGACACTACCTATCCATTGAAGAACTACCCTATCCTGTTCCCAGGGGCAAAAAAGGGCAAAATCTTTTTTTGCAAGGATACAATAAAATTTGTTTAAAGTTTTAAGGAAGGCCTTGTTGAATTGTTTGTCTTTCTTGTCTCTGCCAAGGGTGTGAGAGGAAATTCTCATACACTGACGAAACGGTTAAATGTGGCCGTCTCGTCTACTTCAATAGCTTCATGTCTCGCACCTCTCGTCTGTGGAATTCCCTTCCTATTACTTGTTTTCCTAATAGCTATAATCCCCAACTATTCAAATGTAATGTCAATCGATATCTCCAGATGCCCGGAACTATCCCCTGCCCT